GACTAATAATTTATGCAATATCACTGGTGATCACTTGATTAGGAATGGTTATAAAAAGCAACAGTACCAGTTGCAGAAGACACCATGTCTTCCTCAAACATCAGTACCACGTGTACATCTAGAGACTAATAATTTATGAAATATCACTGGTGATCACTTGATTAGGAATGGTTATAAAAAGCAACAGTACCACTCTGTGCATAATTGGTAACGAGAGTGACATGGAAGATCATAATAGACCACAATGATTAAGTTATGAATAGAATCTGATCAGAATGTTCACAGGTACTATTTACTTCTCCTGAAAGTTTATGAATACAAAGTTTGTTGATACGATAACATATTTTGGTAGGGCAAGTTATAATGATGAGCCTGTTTTTTTTTCATCCTTGTTGTCAGGAAAACAAATATAAAAGTTAGTTTGAGAGCTCTAATTGTCAGCTGTAAGGATCAGTACAGTGAGGAACAAATGGTAATAAAAGATGAACTTTACAAGAAATTGGCAGAGAGTTAAGATTCTATATGACATCGCAAGATGTTAGTCACTTCCATATAATTCACAACTTAGAGCTTACTCGATATAAAATGTATTGTAATTTTAAGTTTTGATATAAGTAAAGAAAACATAATTAAAATCAGAACATTTAAAACTAGGATACAGCCAAAATTTTTATTTTATTTGCCAATGAAGAACAAAATAAAAATCCCTAAAAATTTTCTTTATCTTGTATATTACAAAGGTTCTGAAGATATTTTACACAACACAGGGTCTCAACCCATGGGTAAACCTAAAATTAGGTTTTCAGAATGTGTGAAAGGGTCACAAACAGACTCTTAAAACAGATAATAGTTCATAGATTTTTTAAAATGTGTGTTTATTTATTTAGTAATTAATTAGAAGAAAGCCATGTGTTTTTGCATTAAAATTATTTACTGGGTTGTGTGACTGGCCATCAATGTTTACAAATGAGTCACGAGCCAAGAAAAGGATGAAAACAACTGATATAGCTCATATGCAGGATATTCTCCAATTTTTTTTAAGTACTTAAAACATATGATAACTACAACACTGTTTATTGTTTGAATGGTAAATTAATCATTCTATTTTTAAGGTCAAATATCTAACTTTTATTGTACAGTAACATACAATATACCTTACAGACAATAAGGGACTGTTGGGCCTTTCAAGGTTGTTCTTGCACACTCACATTTAAGAAAAATGAGAAATTTAAACTTACTCTTTATTTTCAAAGAAATAATCAGTTCTCATCTTAAACTCTTGTAATGTGCTGGCCTCAACTGTTGCTGATGGTAACACATTCCATTAATCTTTTACCTTGTTCGAAAAAGAAAACTGTCTTGACAAGAGCCGAGCTTGTCTTTTCTAAATCTTTAACTTGTGTCCTCATGCTTCTGTCTTCAGAATGCACCACAGAGAAACAATAATTTCAATGAGATGATGTCCTACCATTTTTTTTTCTCAATAGAAAATAGTTAACGATATCTTTATCTATCTGTATAAGATAACCTTTTCATCCCTGGTGCCATCCTAATAGCCCAGCTCAAAACCCTTTCCATTAAGTTAACATCCTTTATTAGATAAGGAGATCAAAACTGTATGCAGCATACCAAGTTAGGCCTAACTAGTGATTTCTATTAAAGACATAATTACATATTTTGACTTGTAATCAGTGTTTCTATAAATACAATGTAAAATTCTAGTGGCAACAGCCCTATTGCTTGGGTGGCTTGCGTGATTTATTCATCCCTATGATAAAATTTTTTTTTCTAAGTCATGCTATTGAGTGTGTTCCCATTTATATTAAACATGATCAAAATTAATAATCCTTATGAATTATCTTACATTTAATATAATTAAAATCAGTTCTTCATATTTGATGGGAACTATCATACTGACACTCAAAAGCACTTGTAAAATGGGTTTTACAAAGGCATGTTAAAGTCTGTCATGAAGCCAGATGTTTTGAGCTCACTACTGATCCTTTTATTCTTACTAAGAAATAAATACTTTTGAATTCAGATCCTGTAATTTGTCGTGGCATTGGCCACACAATCAGCTAATGTTATTATGTACACAGTAATATGATATTTTCAAATTATATTGATTTATTTACATATCAAATATTTGTAACTGAGAAACTAAGTCAATATTTTAAAGTTTAAATTACAAAATTGTATATTAACTAGTAAACATTTTTCCCACTACATAAGAAAGGCTAATTGTTCTATAATTTGAAGGGCTACTTTTTTTCTCCTCCTTTAAAGATAGGAGTAACATAGAAATTCTCCAATCCTCAGATACCTGCCCATTGTCTATTGAGGTTTTGTATGTGATATCACAAGCTGGGAAATCCCAGAGTTTTGGCCATTGTGGACATCAAGCTACCACATTTTTACTCCATGCTTAGCAGTGTGAACTTGTCTTAATGCCTTGTCTTCATCAGGTACCATGATGGTAATTACTTATGCTGTTAGATGTAGCAATAGACAGGGACAAAAGCCCAGTCTAACTTTCTATCATTTTCCAAAAGACAAAGAGCAACAGAATCGATGGATTTTAGCTGCGTAGCAAATGTTTTATAGTGGGTATGAATACTAATTTTTCAATAGTATATATATAAATATCTGATAACGGTATCCTTTATACTATGGGATAAAAATGTAAATGATCATCCAGCCCTAAAGCCAGTTAAAAATTTTGATAACATGATAGTATCAGACTGATTATTACCCAAAATGACACACACAAAACACAACAAACAAACTTGTCAGAAGCCTTGCCTTGTAGAGTGGCTCAAACATGGATTTGAAGTCACGTGGTCATATCAGTATGATATTTGAGTAATATTTTAATATATTTAAATGTATACTGAGATCTGGTATGCAATAAACTTTATCAGTCCAACACATTATAATTTTTTTCAACAGTATCTATGAATTTTAGTTCAGTTCTTCATGAATAATTATTTTTTGCATCATAATATTTCTAGTCTTGGATAGCTTGCCAGTACATATAATTCTGTTAGTTAAATTTCCAGGTACCAAAAGTGATCACCCATGCTCTCTTGACTATTCCTACTGTGTTACCCCTACTATTATCCCAGAAGAAATAAGCAGCAAAGAATATGGCCAAATGTCATACATAAATAAGGCAATGAAAAAAGTAATTCATGAGGGGTGAATTTTGGTAATGATGCAGCTGCGCCTCTCATGACTTTAGAAAATAATCCAAAACATATGGCTTGCTTAGCAAGTCCACTAGCTTCAACTTCTTCAGATATATCTGTCGATGTTCTCTTTGCAGATGCTGAGCATTCTCAGATAATGTGACAAAGTATCTGACATAATTTATAGCACTTTCAACTCTGCTGAGTTTATCTCGCATGTGGTATATCAGGGTACCATAGACTCTAGCGTGATGGCCAAAATGATGGACAAGCATGCATCACATGATTTTGGTTACGTGTCTGCAAAACCCCAATTGACCTACCAAAACTGAAAGAGGGAAGCTAACAGATCTGTTGTATGATGACCTCATTTAAAATGCTGGGGAAAACATTTACTGGTTGTGTTTGTTTTGTATTTTTATTATTATTTTAGCATCAAGGGACTAATACATTATATCTATGTTCAGGTCAATTCCATTTTTTTACTATAAAGTACTCTTGGTTTGGATCTCTTTCAAAAACAGATAGTAAGAAAACTTAAAAATTCAGTTATCTTTTGATTTTCAAGAAAACCTTCTATCACCACCCTTTGAAGTCCTAATCTCCATTTTATCACTTTGTTAATTTTTAACATACATAAAAAAGCCTTTGAATTACTTTTAACAATATCAGTCAGCTATTTTAATAAGCCATGGATTTTCTTATTTATTTTTTAACCAAATCCATATCTTTCTGATAGTCCTGTAAATCTTCCTATCTGTCAGTTTAAGCCAACCTAAATTTTTATATTTATCCTTGGCTTTTTTGTCTTTAGTAAGCCTATCTTTAATTCAGTGAAGCTTATTTTTAAATATATCGTATTGACCCAATTATAAGCAATGTTTTTTTTATTGATAATTAGGCTGTAAAATTCATAGTTGCCTTATAATCATTGCCAACAACAGGCCCCCTTCCCCCCTTCTCTAGCCTTTCGCATTCCTGAATGTCCAGATAGCTTCTGTCTATGCATGAACGTCAGATGTTCACTCAAGGTCATTGCTAGTTCTTCCAACTAATCGACCTGCAGACTGTTCAGTAGTAGTTTTGATTTTGTGGACCTAAAAAATGTTATGATGCTCAATGTTTTTCTTTCTCATGGTTTCTGAAAATGGAGGTCACTTCATATTCAAGATCGCTCAATAATTGGGCCAATTTGGTAGTTTCAAATGTAATTAGTATTTTTAGTATCAGCAGAAAATTTTGGAATATACACATGTCCAAAAGCTACTGAAATCATTACCATAAGTAAAGAGCAACAAAGGTTCTATAACTGGTCACATTCTCAAAATTGGAAGATATTTTTTAAATAACTTTAACAATATATTTAAACACCTTTATTCTCCTGAAGAAGAATAGTGAACTAATCGACAGTGCTTGAGTTTTGAAAATATTACAACTTTTGTAGGTAATCCTGTGTGCTAACTGCTTAACCTGGATTCAAACACCTTGTTAACAGCAAAATCAAACTGATGGGTGTATAATCTCTCCAGATCCTCACTAGATTCTGTAAAAAGAACAAAAAAAAAAATCATACATGTAGGGATCACATTAGAAATCTTTTCATTATCATTATTTCCCTGGTGTGGAAAATCAGAAAAATAAAACATTCATGACTTTTCTTATCTGTTTTAAAATTTTGAGATGTAATAACTTTGATTGATCATTTTACAAATAAAGATTACATTCATAATATTCCAACCCTTAGGTGTCAAGACTTTATACAGTAACAGCAACAGCTACTATCAAAGTAATTTTTTTATTGTTTCTCTACAGGTTAAAAAGCATCAACAAAGAGTTTTAATGATATTAGATTCTTTAAAAGTCTGTTATGAGACTGTTGATATCACAGAACCAGGCAAAGAAGACCAACGCAGCTATATGCAAGAAAATTGTAAAAAAAGTTCTGGAAGAAGCGTTCTTCCACCCCAGTTCTTTAATGATGAAGATTACTGTGGGGTAAGGATTAATTTCTAAGTTGAAACCTTATTGAACATTTCCTGTCACACTGTTATAAGCTTTAAATTTTGTTTTTCAAATTTGCCAATTTCCTGTCAAACTTTGAATTTTAATCAATCATATGAATGGTTAAATACATTATCAACGTGCGTTGAGGAACAAAGTTTTTGAGAGACTGTATCTCAGTGTCCTTGATACTTTTTTTATCATTCTTACAATGAAAGTACTTATATGAGTTTGTTAATTAGTGCATGCACAGTAATTAACTAGTTTACAGATGCCGAAAGCATACCTGCTGACTGCAATAAAAAACTAAATAATAAGTCAAACTAATAAGTATATGTCTACCAACAACATGTTCATTGTTTTATGTCAAAATCAGTATGAAATTCTGATTAACTTAAAAATATTGGGGAGTGTTTTTCGAATATATTTTATAACATAAAACAGATAGTATCACTAACTCAAGAAATTGTTTGTGAACAAAATCTTAATGTTGGAATAAATCTCTGGTACTATTACGTATCCAGACGTAAAAATGCGTGTACCAAAAATAGAAGGGCTGATGAGTCTGAGAGCAATACGTGACACAATTTTACAAAGAATAAAATAAAATTATGTAGTTTGTGGATACACAGAATTCAAGGAGATACAGGATGAAATTTTGAAATTACGGAAAACACAAAAATATGCTCAGCACATTTCAAACCTAATGTTTTTATAGCACGAAATACGTGATAGAGATAGATGACTGAAGCCATCACCTGTTCCATCAGTTCTTGACTGGACAATATATATAAACTTGAGGTAAGAAACTTAAGTTATAAGATTTTATTATATATTTTAAATATTTCTCATCAAATTAATGTGGCAAAGAAGATCCTCAAACAATTGTGAAATGTTTATTTTTTTTATTTTTATTTTTTTTTTTACAAGTTTGTACTTTATATTCAACAGTCTTTTTTTTTTTCAGCAGTGATATTGGGTTCATTTATTTATATCTACGTACCTTGATTTATAATTTGTTACATGAAGATATGAACTAAGTATAATAAATTATTATTTTTTTTAGATTCCTTGGATAGTTGGAATACTTCATTAATCTTGAAAGATATTCATGCAAGTCTGGAGCAACATGTGAGTCTTTGTGATTTAGGGTTTTTTTATTTTTAATTTGACCCATATAAAAATAGTATTAACTTTTGTAGTCAACAACTCAATTTTATAATACATTTATTTAAATAGAATGATACTAAACACCTAAAGCTCAGTAATCAAAAGGATTGTATGTATGTTGTTTGAAAATGGGTATTTAATACCAGGGATATTTTTCTATTCTAGGATAAAAGAAAACTTGAGGACTGAAGTTTCATATGTTGAATCACATCAAGCTAAAGACCTTAAGGATAAATGAGGTTGGCAGTAGCATCTTTGCTTCTTTTAAACCAGATTCATTCTGTAAATGACTGTACTGCACCAACATCAAGAAAGATTTGTTGAGGATAAACCAGAAAAGGTTAATAAAGAGCTTCAATGGCTAAAGATAAACATGCAAGCATCACCATAGCCATTCTTAGGATTACAAATAACAATGAACCCACAAGATACTACACATGATTACTAAATTATGAAATATTTCAATCTTTTCTTAATTTTTTTCAAACCATGTACAAATAACCTGCAATACTGGAAAGAAATGAAAAACAGTTGATTGTAATAATCTAGAAGGAATTTGGCCTGGATTATCAAATCTTCATGATTTAAGTACAAAATGTATTCTAGTTTTAGTACCTTATAAGAATGGAATGCCTATTCAAGAGATTGCTTGAAATTTTCAGATTAGCAGACCTACAAATGTATCAATATTTTGTACGTGAATTAACTTTTTGTTCCAGGAATTTAAGGAACTCTTCTCATTTCCAGATGCAGAAACTATATAAAGTTATTTGAATAATCTAAGAGTCGTCATAGACTGTACTCAAATAATTAACTTTTTGTTCCAGGAATTTAAGGAACTCTTCTCATTTCCAGATGCAGAAACTATATAAAGTTATTTGAATAATCTAAGAGTCGTCATAGACTGTACTCAAATAAAAATTCAAAAATTATCCTCTCTATTAGCTGAAAAGGAAAAATTCTCAAACTACAAACACTATAATACTTGCAAAGTTATAATAGCTATAACTTTCAGAGATCCAGTATGTTTTGTTTCTGAAAGTTATGGAATTGGTTGTTCCAATAAACACATATTTAAAGATTTGGAAATCCTGAACTATTAGGAAACAAGGTTATCATGGTATAAAAGACTTTGATATTGAAGGTATTTTGCAAAAAGGTATTACAGTGTGCGTACTTCTATATAACATGAAATACAAAAAATGTGGAAAATACAAAAGGTATTGCTCAAGCAAGAATTTGTGTGGAGCTTGCTATTTCAAGAATAGTTACACAATACTTGGTGATATAAGTGGGCATCATCCAATAGTAATGGCTGGGAGTGAAAACCAAATTGTCCATGTATGTGCCCATTTAACAAACTTTGTCTTATTTTTATTAGAGTAGAAACTATTTTTTTGTGATTTCTATTAAAGCCACTATTTTGTATAGATGTAAATAAATATAAATTGCACAGTTTGATCTCATTAAAGGTTTGTTTCAGGGTGTATACGCATCCTTGAAATTGAGGATGGAATTTTGAGGGCTTGAAAAGGGGCCTTTTTTTTGCAAAAGTACTTGAAAATATTACAATAGCAGAATATATCGATATACTTAACTTCAATGGATGTTGCAGAATTGAGCACAATAAATAAAATATTTTCTTTTCTTTTTGGTATACGTTCATATGTTGAGCAAAAACAAATAGGAATTTTATGAAATTTTGGTGGAATTTGATTGATTTTGAAGTAGATTTTAGATTCCAAAAAGTGCTTGGAATTGGCCTGAGCAATTCAGTATGAACCATGTTGTTTACATTTTGTACATGTATACATACAAAAAAATGAAATCATATGAAACATTTTATTTTCTCAATTTGATAAGTTATTCTCTAATACAAAATACTTAAATCAGAAAATCAAATCATGTATGTATTTGAAGCATTGTTTTGCACTGTACTGAGCTATATTTTCAAATGTATTGAATAAATAAATACATTTTTGTAAGATACATGATCTTAGGTGTAAACAGACTTTATTTAATACAGTTTTGGTACTTTTAATTACACAAATACCATAACTTTTTCATGTTTTTAAACGGGACATACTGTCACACTGAGTCTAGTGGTAAATTGTTCTTAACACATTACAAGGTTGTTTCAGGTAAAAATGCATAATAAATGAAATGATGAAGAGCAGAAAGACCTACTGCATTCCAAAATTTCAAATCAAATGTATGTGTCCTACATGGAGTTAACTTTCCTCCAACTGTTCTGTGTACACTATGGACTCACACCAAGACATACCACATACTTGTAATTGTCTCTGGTAATTAAAATCATGGTGACTCTTTTTCTTTGGTGCTCCTTCACAGATTTCCAAACAAAAGGCTTTTTCATCACAAGCCATTAAGATTGTTTTGTTCTTTTTACTTGCAGAACATTTAATTTCAACAACAACTTTAGTGTTGCCTGACTCCTCAGTCACTGTCTCATCTGGAGATATAGTAAATATGCTGCAGCTTTTATTGGCAAAAAGACCAAGTAGAAGAATTTTATCTGACATTCCATCTACAGTTTTACGTTAGGCATACACAAAGTGATTCTGGTTGCATTTCACTACCATAAATTATAGACTTTATTGTAATGTTCTTGGCAAACAACATTCTATGGGAAAACATGACATTTTATGGTTTGAGTTGCACATGAAGCTGTTATCCTCTTTTTTTTCTCCTCTCAATGCACTATTTTGAATTTTTTTGTTAGCCTACAGTAATGTCAGGACATTTTGTTGAACATCAGAATTTCATGAATAACATGAAGTGAGAACCTTTGAATTTTATTTAACAGCGGTCTTTGGAGACATATGATAGCATTGTGACACCTCTTCATATGACTTGCATTCAGATATTGATAATATTTGCAGATTAGCATCATAGAGACCACTATTGTAGGAGGCTAGAAAAGCATATTTTATCTACTTCAGTAAGGTCTTTGACAGTTTGTTCGCCCTCTTTCTCATTGACTTATATTAGAAAAATTGAAATTAGTTTAAAGTTTTGATTTGCAAATGACAATTTGATTTAAGCTTTTCATCCTGACCACTTAGAATAATCCATTTGGATGAAACATCAGTGTATGATGTGTCATCAGGTGCTTCCTTCAGACATCTACAGTTTAAATCTGTGAGCTTGTACAGATGAGCTACAATATGATTACACTGTTGATAAAGTTTGAAATACACAATACTGCAAAAAAGTGCTTAAAACACAATTTAAAAAAAAAAACTGTTAATTCTAAGTATCTTACATTATGAATTATGTTGTAAATCATCCCAAACCCTTTCATAATGAAGTTATTAAAAGAAATAACATTGCTGTCAATATTAAACACTAAAGTTTTCCTTTTTCTGCACTTTAGACATAGTTATTTCAGTATTTTATATAAACAAGTTACGTATGTAATATTTGAACAAATATTTGAATTATTAACTATGTTTAAATTTGTTTTAAAATAACTCGGAAACAAGGCTAACTGAAACTAAGGCTAGCCCTTTCATAAACTGAAAAAGGTTACCAAGTAAAAAATGTTATTGCTACTAGGGAGTAATATTAACTTAAGATAGGCCTAATAATGACTATGATTATCTTGTGTGCCCATTTGGTGCTACATTAATCTAATCAAAAACACCTTAGGTGTGGCAAAAAAAGATTGAGTGTGTGACTTAAAGGAATGAAATCAAAATTGGTGGCCAAACTGGTAGCTACATTAATAGCAATGATAAGAGTTTCACAGCAAATATTTGTTATTCATTAGTTAGTCAGGCTGTGTTTTTCATTGAACTTGGGGCATGATGCCCAAGTTAACTAATGAATAAACATTTGATGTAATATTCTTATCAGTGCTATAAGTGTAGCTACCAGTTTGTCTGCCAATTTTGCTTTTATTCCATTAAGTTGCACACTCAATCCTTTTTTTAGCCACACCCTTTTTTACACCTAAGGTGTTTTTGATTAGATATCATGACTTTTGTCAATACACACCAACAAACCCCAGCAAATAAGAAAGTGACACTCAATAGTAACCTATATTAGCTTTAGGATTGCAACCCTTTTATTCAAAACAGACCTTTACTTTCTAGAACCAACCAGATTCTTTAAAATATATGATGGTAGTTTTTCCTCTATAAAACTGTGTTAATAGCTTCCTTTACACTAACACCATGGAATTTGGATTAACAGTTTCTTGTCATCAGCCCCATGCAATTGGTACAGCCATATCAAGCATCATTATTTATGCTAATTGCCTAAGCTAATATCACGTGATGCTAAACAATCTTTAACTTCACAAAATTTAGTAAATTTGTGCTGAAAAGTTGGCAATGAATAAGCTATAAAAACTATTCACCCATATAATTCTTTTTAAAACTGCTAATCTAGCTTACTTGGTCTAACCAATACTTATGTATCTGCACATCTTTTTACCCATAGTTTGGCTGCTCTAAATCAGCTGTTTTTAATCTGGGTGACAAAAAACTAAAAACGGTCCACGTGACTCTGCATAGAAGTGTGCAAAGTGTTTGTCAAATATGAGCAGTTTTTATTGAATAACTTTGCACACGTGGCTAATATTTACACCAAACACGACTCCTAATTGTAGGTTGAAAAGATCTATCAGTGTATACCAGATTTGAAAAAAATTCATAAAAGTTAAGTATGTTCTTCTATCAAATAAATATTCCATACTTTTGTGCAGAGAGAGAAAAAAAGGAAGAAAGTCAATCAAAATTAGAAACTTATATCTCTGGTATTTTTTAATGGATTGCTTTGAAATTTGGTATGTATAGTAAGAGTCCAGTAGAGCACATCTACTGAAAATATGTGATAGTTTGGATTACCCGTCCAAGATACAAAAGGTGGAAAATGCTAAACTATCACTCCTGTTAATAACACACAGTGTGTCCTGCAGCAGGTTGTTTTGTTCGCATGACACACTATCATATGTCTTGATCATTACTTACCCTGCAATGTAACTGCATGTTGCAGATATTCCTTCAGCACCTATATTTCAAGGAAAATAAAACAGAATGAATTCCATTTTTCATGAATGAAATGTATCTGCTGGTACAGTAAAAAAGCTTTTGTTCTCTTCATTAAAACAACCTGTATATGCCACAAGTATTTTTTCTTCATATATGAAATAC